ACGAGGAGGATGAGGAGGAGAAGGATGAGGAGGAGGAGGAGAGGAGGATGAGGAGGAGGAGAAGGAGGAGGAGGAGGGGGATTAAGGGTAAGCGAGGCGCGCTCGCGCCATATCGGACATGCAACCCCGCCCATCCATCCCTTCCCGTTGCGCGGGTTTCTTCTCGAGCCGCCGACGGGTGCCATATAGCGCGTAGCGGACCTGGAATGTCGACAAAAACTCCATCGTGTGATGCACAATACGGGAGGAGGAGGAGGAGGAGGAGGAGGAGGAGGAGGAGGAGGAGGAGGAGGGAGGAGGAGGAGGAGGAGGAGGGGGGGGGAAGAGGAGGAGGAGGAGGAGGACGAAGAGGGGAAGGAGGAGGAGGAGGAGGAGGAGGAGGAGGAGGAGAAGAGAGGAGGAGGAGTAGGAGACGGAGAAGGGAGGAGGAGAAGGAGGAGGAGGAGGAGGAGGACGACGACGAGGAGGGGAAGGGGAAGGGGAAGGGGAGAAGGAGGAAGAAGAGGAGGAGGAGGAGGAGGAGAAGGAGGAGGAAGAGGAGGAGAAGGAGAAGGAGGAGAAGCTGGAGGAGGAGGTGGAGGAGGAGGAGCAGGAGGATAAGCAGGAGGAGCAGGTAGATGGAGGAGGGCGAGGAGGACGAACAGCAGCAGCAGAAGCTGGAGCAGCATAGAGGAGAGCTGTGTCTAGACGAACTGCACATACGTGCGATGCAGAATCTTGGCACGAGAAATCATGGGGCCGTTCTTCGTCCAAGGTCGAGAGTCCTGAGCTGCCGCAGGGATGCGCTGGGCCACCAGGGCGACTGGAGGACAAGAAGCCTCCCGTGGGGCGCCCGGCAGGTGCCTCACGGAATCCCACCGGCCCAATGGGCGTAGGTGGTTTAGGGAGGCTCCTCTTCCAACCCCCTTCTTCTCGGGTCGGGCGAGAGGGGGGGATAGCAAAGGGGGGGGGGTGAGAATCAGCTCACGTAGCTGATTTTCCCGGCGACTCCCGGAGCCGGAGGCAACTATGTATCGAGGACTGGGCCCCTCGGTGAGGCCGAAACCAGCTGCAGCAAATTTCGTAACACCCCCTTTCCCAATCCCCCCCTTTCGTCCAGCCCGATCTTCCCCTTCGGGGGGGGTTTGCCCCTCCCCCTTGCCCCCTCCCCCTGGACCTGGACGGGGGTGGCCGCGGGCAGTTGGAGCGTCCAAGGTGGCCCAAGACGGCTCCGAGAGCGCGTCGGAAAGCCTAAGATGACCTCCAAGATGACTCAAGATAGCGCAAGATACCTCCTCAAGATGGCGTTCAGGATGCTCCAACAGGCCCCAAGAACGCTCCAAGACGGCTCCCAGAGGCCTCCGAGACCTCTAAGGAAGCCCCCAAGAAGCCAACATCCTTCAAACACCTACGGAAACTCAATGGTTGTTGCTTTGTCGCCTTTTCGCGTCCGATGGCCATCCGAGGCCTCAAGGTGGCTCCAAGATGGCCCAAGAGAGCCCCAGGAGAGGCCCAAGAGAGCCCCAAGACGGCCCCAAGAGCGCCCAAGAGCGCCCCAAGAACGCTCCAAGAGGGGTCCATGAGGCGATTTTCGATGCTCCCGAGGCGGGAGGCTAGTTGGAGCTCTCCTCTTGTTTGATCGATGCCCTCCAAGATGACCCCAAGAGCGCCCCTGAAGCTGCCAAGAGCGGCCCAGGAGGGCAGAAAGAGGCGCCCAGACAACCCCAAGAGGCGTCAGCCTCCAAGAGACCCCGTACGAGGCCTCAAGAAGATCCCCGAGGTACCCAACTCTCCCTCCTTCTCCTCCTTCTCGTCCTCGCCCTAATTACTCCTCCTCCTCCTCCGTCTCCTCTTCCTCCTCTTCCTCCTCCGACGACGACGACGATCCCTCCTCCACCCTCCCCCTCCTGGGGTATATGACGGCGTCCCCCGCCCTCTGCTCTCCTGCACGCTCCCCCGCCTCCCTCCTCCCCCTCAAGCTCCCCGGGGCACCGCTTCTGCCCTGGGCGGGTGGGGATGCACGCGACGCGCCGACACCTCCTCACCTCAGAGGAGGTGTCGACGCGCCACGAGAGCGACGCGCAGCCTCCATCCAGTGCGAGCTCCGCCCACCCGCAGGAGCCCGCCTTCCGCTCGTGTTCACCGACGTCGTGCGCGACCGTGGGCGCAAGACATCGAGCGGCCAGCGAAGCGAGGCGGAGAGGCAGAATGCAGCCCCGCGGAGTGCGGGAGTGCTCGCGGGCCACTTCCTGCTTCGACACCTCCTCGGAGGGCGCCCGCTCTCCGCTCCGGGCCGGGCCCGGCCCGCCCTGGGAGTCAGCAGGCCCTGGGCCCGGTTGACCGGCCCGGCCAGGCCCGGGGCGAGATCTGCGGCGCCCTTCGGGCAAGGCAAGGAGCCAGCCGAGTACCTAGCCAGATACGCTCGCGTCGAAACACCAACATCAGGACGGAAGGTCTTTGGCTAGTTTCTGCCCCAAGGGGGGGCCCCCGCCGGGCCTCGGGACTGCCCAAAAACGACTCA